TCCTCTGCTCCAAGCTCAAGAGCCCCAGCTCCCTCAGCCGCTCCTCAGCAGGAGATGCTCCACTCCCTCCAGCATCTTTGTGGCCCTGCTGGACTCTTTCAAGCAGTTCCTGTCCTTCTTGAGCTCTCCTTGACACGTCTCCCAGAGTTCCTGTTGCTGGAGAACGTGGTGCATCACTTCAAGCTTCCCTGTGTACTTGATCTGAAGATGGGGACCAGACAGCACGGAGATGATGCTTCTGAGGAGAAGGCTGCTCGGCAGATGAAGAAGTGTGAACAGAGCACTTCTGCCACCCTGGGCGTGCGTGTGTGTGGGATGCAGGTAGGGATCCCCAAGGCTGCAGGTGCTGCTCGTTCCTTTTCACAGCCCGTCAGACCTCCCAGTTAGTGTTTTCTGCTGAGCATTTTGTTACAGAGTCTCCCACTTCAGGTAGGTGTAGCAGTGTTCATGGTACGTACTTCTGATCTTCCTTTTTAAGCCTAGATCAAGGGAACCCACTTCTCCTGAGATGACCTGCCTTATCCAAAGCTGTTTTGTTAACAGAAAATGAGGGCATTTTCTAATTTTTCATGGCTTAGTGTTCACCCAGAATCACAGTGCCTGGGCAGAGAGGTGTCCCTCTGCCCCAGCATCGTCTGACATTTGCTTCTGCACTGTACTGAGTTAACAAGTTGCTGTCCTCTTGCAGCCTTACCCTGCACACGAGGACTTGCTGCTGCTGCTGTTGTGCAATAGTTGCTCCTTTCCCCACCCGCAGAAGGATCTTGTAATCCACATCTCTGCCCACAGACTCTTAAGCAATGAGGCCCCTTCATTAATCACATGCCACATAACAACAGCAATACAGGCCAGCAGCTCCTGCTGCCAGAGGATTGTCTTGAGTATCTGTCAGACTTGTCTTTTTAACCCTCACGGCCTGTTTTGTCTTGCTTCCTGGGGACACTCACACTGATGAGCTGCCCTCTGGGTGTCCTGGGAGAGAACCAGTGCTTGGGCACCCTGACTGTGCCTGTGGGATGCACCCGTGATCTTGCTTTGGGATTCAGAGATGGCGTGGGGCGTGGTGGGGACAGGATGAGTTCCCTCTGCTATGTCAGTGCAGGGCAGCTCAGAGCTCTGTGTGTGGCCTTAATCTGCTGCTCCCACGTAACGTGTGTTTGCTTTGGCATTCTAGGTCTATCAGCTGGACACAGGGCATTACTTATGCAGGAATAAATACTATGGACGCGGCCTTTCCATCGAGGGCTTCCGCAACGCCCTCTACCAGTATCTCCACAACGGCATCGAGCTGCGCAAGGACCTCTTTGAGCCTGTCCTTGCCAAACTGCGAAGCCTGAAGACGGTTTTGGAGAGACAGGCCTCCTACCGCTTCTACTCCAGCTCCCTCCTCATCATTTACGATGGGAAGGACAGCAGGGCAGGGATGTTGGTGGAGCGCCGTCCGGAGATGCGCCTGAAGCGGGTGGACACCTCTCTCCTGGAGAGCCTTCAGGACGGCAGCAGCACGGAGCCCGGCTTGGCCCAGCCCAAGGTGGACGTGCGTATGATTGACTTTGCACACAGCACCTTCAAAGGCTTCCGCGACGACCCCACTGTGCACGACGGACCCGACATGGGTTACGTGTTCGGGCTGGAAAGCCTCATCAACATCATGGAACAGATGCGTGAGGAAAACCAGTAGCCCCAGGCTACGGCCTCTTCATCTTTGTCCTGGTGGCAGGAGCAGCCAAGACCACCTACTACCACGGGAAAAAACAAACAAACAAACAAAAAAGCAGACAACTTTGGTTTTAAACAATTGTATCGCTCCATTGTTTTTAAATGTACTTGGATAGAAGAGCTGAGGCGAGGCAGGATGGAAGAGAGCTCCTCATGCTGCCCAGATGGCTCTGACCGCACTAGCTCTGCCTTCGGGAGATGCCTGCTGGGTGTTGGGTGTCCTGGTTCTTTGCTCTTTGTGTGTGTGTGTGTTCTGGAGGGAGGACCTGGACTTAGGGAAGAGAAAGCAGGAGAGCGTGGGGTTCTTTGGAGGGCTGGAGCTGTGGTGTGAGGAGCCTCCTGCTTTGGGAGAGCCTTCCCTTTGAAAGTCTTCTGGGTTATTTGGAAAGGACGCTTGACCAACAGTTGGCAGTGTCTGTGGGACTGACTGTGAGCGGCACAGGAGCCGGTCGCTGCGTTCGGTGTCGCTAGCTCTGCCCTGGGTTTTGCCACTGGGGCTTGGCTTTTGATGCTGCCTTTTTCTGCCGTTTGGGCACTGTGAATAACCGACCCAAACACGGAAATCAAATGACCAAATGCAACCCCTGGCAGAGCTGCACCTGGAGCTGCGCTTGAGCCTGGGGTCCCCTCGCTCGCCGAGGGGCTGGCACGGGCAGTCACAGGGCTCTGTGAGTGAGAGTGGCTCTGCCCTGGACCACTGACCAAGCAAGGACTCAGCTCGTGGGCTAGCAATAGTATCTGTAGCAGTTAACGCCACCCCAGCCCTGCAGCGGGGCGTTTCGGACCATTTCAACCCTTCCCCTCGTGTCACGTTGGTCCCACAGGTTGCACACCAGTAGGTCCCTCGGCTCCAGGGTCCTGCAGCCCCTGCTGTCTGGCAGGTCTGTGCAGGGCGGTGGTGGCAGGGGAGGCCAAGGGTTAGGGCTAAATCCCCTTCTCCCTAAGGGACTGCAGGGGAGCAGATGAGGGGGGGACCTGGCTGAGCGATGAGTGCCATCACCTGGCTGTTCAGTTTTGCTTCACAGAGTCCCTCTTTCCCAAAATAAGCTACCGTCTGTGGATGAAGCAGCCAGTTGGGATGTGCTCTGCTGCCTGGGTTCCCTTCACCCACCCCTTCCCTGGATTGAGGGCATTAACGTTGGATATTGTGGCCTCTGCATCACCTCCTCTGTGTTCCTGCGCTGGGACGCCCGGTTGCTCCCCGCTGGTGTCACTGACTTGTTCCATGGCGCTACCCTCACCCTGCCTGGGTACCTGAGAGGCCAGGGTTGGGGTGGTTTGTCTCGGTTTTGTGTTTTTTTTACTTCAGGAAGGCTAGTTTGGGAATACTCGCATGTAGCATGTGTGCTTGGAAAGCGCATGTGCCCAGCCGCTGGCCGGGTGCAGGTCTGCGGCCCTGGATGTGGCCGGGGCAGCAGGGGCAGTGCCACCTTTGTCCCACACCGTACCCCCTCTGCTCCAATGCTTGGCCCCGCAACCACTTCCCTCCAGCTCTCTGGATGAGGACCTTCCTTCACGCCTTCTCCCCTGCGCTGTGTTACTTCTTCATCGCTTCTGCGAGCTGCTGCCCTCCAGGCAGGGCTTGGGCGTTTCAGGGAACAGGTTTGCAGGGGGGAGCAGGAGGTGCCCGGGTGCCTGGGACGGCCCCGTTGCTCTCCCTGGCCCTCCCCTGTGTGGTCCATCACAGCCCACCTTGTGCATGTCCTTGTCTCTGGAGGACACGGGGCCCTTCCTCCTGGGGGGCCCCTCCACATCCCCTGCGCTGGCTCCTGCCCTTCCTCTGGGCAGGGGCGAGGGGCGATGGATGGGGTGTGCTGCCTCTCCCCTTCCCTTTGGACCACCGTGGTGGGACTCCACAGCTTGTACATAGCCTTGCCCCCCGTTTGTTTTTACATGGATAATCACCTTGTTTGTGCTTCACAGAGAACCAAAAACCATTAAAGGATCTGTTTTTGTCCGCCGTGTGCCGTGCCTGCCTTTCCCCAGGGGCTGCGGTGAGGGGCTCGGGCAGGACCCGTGTGCGGGTGGCTTGGACTTCAGTACCCGGCGTGGGGTGCAGCTCTTGCCCCTTCCCTCTCCTCAGCGGGGTTACCCTCATCCTTGCTCGTCCCGGGCAGGGCGCAGTGGGGTGCAGCTCTTTCCCCGAGGCCCCGCCGTGCTGCGGCAACGACACGACCTTGCGGCTCCCCGGGGCGGGACGGGACCCTCCGCGTCCTACCTTGGGCTGGCAGAGCCGGGGCGGGCGCTAGGACC